GTATTCTGATAATTGAAATGAGAAGTTAATAAACTGTGCCAGACTCCAAAGTGGTTACCTTAATATCTAAAAAAAAAAAAATAAATAAATTTGTAATTATACTAATTTTGTGACTATAGTAAAAGTAACTATAAAGAGGTTTGACCATAATATATTTCTAAATCTATAAATATTGTTAATCAAATTTTGGGTAATTTAAAATCAATATCAAAAAATATCAAAAGAGAAAAAGAAAAAAAATAAAACTTGATTCTTTTAAAATTCATAAAAGACTATTAGCATTAAGGTGAATTTTTTTGATCTGTGAATAGTTGTAAATATATACTTTTGCAAGGTCAGGATCCATTTGGCTAGTTAATTTTGGAGTAGCTGATGAGAAAATAATGATTTCAATGCAGAATAATTAGTATAATGAGTAAAGGAGACTTTATAAAGATAGGGTCTAAAGTATGAAATAGCCTAAACAACAGCAAGATACTTCTTTTTGTTACTGAATAATTTTTTTTAGCTGGTGTTAAGAATCAACTTGCATAGACAACTACTCTTTTTTTATCATTATTATCTAATTAAGAAAAAATAGCACCCAAAGATAAACCTTATATATCTATAAAAAAAATAAAAGACTTTGAGAAATCTGGATATGCTAAAATCAAAGCTGCAATAAGTTTTTCTTTTAGTTGCTCAAAGGCTTCTTATTAACTTGTTACTTAATGATATCCAATATTTTTTTGCAATAACAAATTTAAGGAAGTAGCAATTTTAGTAAAGTCTAAGATAAATTGAAGATAATAATCTTAAAAATTCTCATAGTTGTCTTAAGTTTCGAGATATCAAAAATTCTTGAACAGCTTGTACTGTTTCTAAATCTGTAAAATTTCTTATACACTTACAATATATTTTAAAATTTTAATTCTTTTCAAGCAAAATAACATTTTTGAAAGTTAATTTTTAAACATACTTATTGTAATCATTCAAAAACTTTCTTCATATGTACTAAATATTCTTCAAATTATTTTGAGAAAATATTAAGATCATTAAGATATACCACAACAAACTTTCTAATTATATTATTAAAATTTTGATTTATTAATCTATGAAATATGGCTGGTACATTTATAAAACCAAATTATATAATATTAAATTTATAAAGCCTATAAGTTAAAATAAAAGCAGTTCTTTATCATCTTAGAACATTTCAATCTGCTAATAACTACTAGCTAAATTCAATAAAATAAACTACAATGATCTATTTAAAGTATCTAAAAGTTTATTGACCTGTAGCAATAGGTAGTTATCTCTAATAGTCATAGTATTTAACTTCTTATAATTAATACAAAATCATATTTTTTTAAATTTTTTGTTTTTTTTAACACAACTGGTAATGTCTATAGGCTAGTAGATAATCAAATAATCTGCTTATTTAGTATACTATTAATTTCTTTTTTAGAATTCATATATCTTGAGTAAGAATATGGTGCTGAATTATATTAGTTTAACCCAACTCAGAGATATTTTAAGTACAAAGATTAGAATTATACTTAGACAATTCGAATAATTGCTTTTTTTGAATATCAGTAATTTTTTTAATATTATATTTGATATTAAGCAGCTTTTATTTTTATAGTAGTAATTGAACAGATCTGAGATAGGCTGATATTTTTCTTTATGTACTACAATAAGTCCTGCTACAGATCTTATATTGTATAATATTACTTTTTATCTTCATACTTTTTACTACTATTATTTTTTTTTATAATATTCTCCTATTCTAAATCTAATTTATTGTGTATCTCACCAAGGTTTTCTTCTTTACTAAATATTGTCATTGTATAGAGTTGTTTCTCTAATTCTTCTTCTTCAAAATCATCTTCTATTTTTTTTTCAAATTCATTATCTTTATCTTCAATATCTCTTATTATCACAACCTATTCTTTAGCTAATTTATTTTAGCTAATTTTTAAAATTCTATCAAAACAACAATTTTTTTGTATTTCTATACCAAAGTCATTTCAAATCTGTTTTAATTGATAGTTGCATTTACTTTTGATAGCCAATTATTTTCTATAATAGTACAATATAAACTGGTATCTGTTATACCATATCGATTAGAATTTTAATATCATCAATATTAAATAAAAATTAGAAATTTCTCTAATTAATATTTGCTTTCTTCATT